AAGAAGAAGGAGAAGGAGAAGAAGGAAAAAAGAAGAAGGAGAAGGAGAGGAAGAAGGAGAAGGAGAAGGAGAGGAAGAAGGAGAAGGAGAGGAAGAAGGAGAAGGAGAGGAAGAAGGAGAAGAAGAAGGAAGAAGGAGAAGAAGAGGAAGAAGGAAAAGGAGAAGAAGAGGAAGAAGGAGAAGAGGAAGAAGGAGAAGAAGAGGAAGAAGGAGAAGAAGAAGAAGAAGGAGGAGGAGAAGAGGAAGAAGGAGAAGAAGAAGGAGAAGAAGAGGAAGAAGGAGAAGAAGAGGAAGAAGGAGAAGAAGAAGAAGAAGAAGAAGAAGAGGAGGAAGAAGAAGAAGAAGGAGAAGAAGAGGAAGAAGGAGAAGAAGAAGAAGAAGATGATGATGATGATGATGATGAAGAAGAAGAAGAAGGAGGGAAGAAGAAGAAGAAGCAGAAACTGCATGCGAGGGCTCACTCTGCGCACGGCGCACTGCGCGTCGTTCATGGTGTTCTCGTCGAGCACGCCGACGCACCGCCCCAGGGGCTCCTGCGTGTGCTGGTGCACGTCCGTCGTCCACGCCATGCGCTGCCGGAACTCCTCCAGCGGGTCGGCGTACACGTAGCGGAACTCCAGCACCATCATCGACAGCACCAGCTGCGCGTTGGCGATCATGAACGTGCAGCACGGCCGGCCGCTGCGCACGAAATCCAAAGCGATTGCCAATGAGTGCCTCTCGCGTTAAACTTCCACAATGTACTTTTAAATTTGTGGTATTCGAACTTTTCGAGAATTCGCAGAGTTCAACGAAAATGAGATGTGCACCATTCTCTTAAGCATCCCTTCATCTATCCGTGCAAAAAAAAATCGTTGTCTTTTTTTTTCTTAGAAAAAATGTTTATTATTAAACTGCCTATATTTAGCGCCACATTGTACGAACACTACTCATATTTTCGAAAAATTGAACATACAATTATTTAAAGATCCGTCTTTAAGGAACAGATATCATTAAGGAACATATGTAATATCTCTATTATCCATATTATAGTCAGAAGACGCCCAAAAACTGGCACTTTTTACAATATTCAAAACATCTGCGGTTTCAACGAACATAAGACCTACACCAATCTCTTTAGCGTTCTTCATGCTAACCGTAGACAAAGTTTAACAAAAAATTGTTGTGTCATTTTTTAGAACATTTTGATAAAGTTTTTAAGGCTTCATGTAAAGTGCCCTCAAAAATCAAAAAATCGATTTCAAACTCCCGAAACCTCGACTTCATTCAAATCATGTAGAGAATATCAATTTTGAAGAAAATCACAGTCGGAAAGACAGACAGACCTTTTGCAGTCGAACGATATGTCGGTGTGAAAGACCTACAAAACATGGATTCTGGTTACACACAAAATATAGCTACACAACGTGAATTTTTCTCTAGACTTTTCTGGACTATTTATCCACTTTTTCATTACCGACAGTAAGAGTTAATTAAAATTCAATTAAAATCTCACCCGGCGACAGTAGCTATTCCATTGAATCAATATTTTTCGCATATTGCAGTTGATTTCACGAAGGGCTCTATGGCACAAAGTTCAACATGTTTCCCGAAAAATTTCGTTGTGTTTTGATTGTATTGTAATCTTTAAATAAATAAATAAATAAATAAATAAATAAATAAATAAATAAATAAATAAATAAATAAATA